ATGCTGGATATTGTTATTGAAATTGATAATTTTTTTTCACCTTTTTTTGTAGCACGTATCCAATTCGATTTTTGATTGTCATCAAGATGAGCTGGAGGATTGTTCATATCACATAAATGATATGAAACAAATTTATCTGACATTATAATGACTAAAGAAAAGAAGATTAAACAAATTGATATAAAATAAGTGAAGAGAAAAAAAGAATAATATAAATAAGGTAAACAAGTAAATCATATAATTTATCACTCGTTCTGACGAATAAACCTATCAAGATTGCATACATAGATATCGTTAGTATATTAATAAAATATGTAATATTTGTCAAGTTAAAACATAAATAACTTTGTTTGTTGAAAACAGAAATACTTCTGAAAGAGAAGATTTCCTGTGTGTAATTTTTTTGTATTTGTAATAACCAATATTTGTTAATGCTAACCACATGCAAATGATAATTATATTGATAACTAATGCGCGCTAATTAAAATATCAATATGTTCACAAGCATAACGAATCGATGTTAGTTCAACTAAGTCGTTGTGCATACAACAAAGATGATCAAACATCGAATCACCATAAACATAACATGACATTAACATTTAATGATCATTAGCAAATAACTAAACAATAATATATCACGTTGATTTTAAAATAAGAATAGATCGAATATCATTAACATGTACTCTGGATTTGACCTGTGTTTTTTCATGTTTGACCCAATCAATTGGATGTTGTTTCCTAATAATTATTTTTGGTGTAATCGAATATTTTTGTTCTAATTTTTTCTTTATTCCATGAATTTTAATCAGTACTGGATCATTGATTTCATAATGTGGATCTGGACATTGTTTATCATAATTAATCTTGTATTATCGTTGTCGACGAATAATATTATCACGTGCGTGTTGTTGTATTATCAATAGATTTTTTTTCAATTGTACATAATAATCATTTGGTTTATTGAAAGTAAATGATGATGAAGGTTCATCAGTAGGTAAATGTGGTTCTCGATCAAATTGTAGTTGAAATGGTGAATAATTAGTCGTT